TCCCTCTGAGGGTGACGGAGCACTGGAACAGGCTGCCCAGGGAGGTTGTGGAGTCTCCTTCTCTGGAGATATTCAAGACCCGCCTGGACAAGGTGACCCTGCTTCGGCAGGAGGGCTGGACTAGATGACCCACAGAGGTCCTTTCCAAACCGTACTATTCTGTGATTCTCTGATTCTGTGATTTTAAAGTCTGTGACATAATATTTTCACAGTTCAGTCTCTTCTCTTGCTTTCTGTGATGCTATAAATGTTGCATTGCATACTCACAATACCAGAGTTTCATGCTAATGAAATTGTATCGTAGCATTCCTGTCCATCGTCTAATTCACGGCCTGGGCAAGGCATTCTCAGCCTCATGGGGGGTTGCAGTTCTTCATTTGGTTTCTGTGGAACTAAGCAGAAATCAAGTTTGGCGGTTACTTTGATGGTTATCTCTAAACTTGTGAGCTTTTGTTCTTCAGACTTAATGAAAGAGGCTTCATTAACATTTGGGTTTCTTTTTTCTTTACAGTCTTGGGCAATAAAAGACATTCAACTGTGTAGCTGATGCTAATTTACACAGTTCTTAGTCTGTACACTTACATACATTACATTATATACTTTTCAGAGAGCAAACATTATTCTTTCACATTTGGAAATGTTTGTTAGGCTGAAATCACTGCAAATCCGATGTACAATGTCTCAGCTTCAACATACCAAAATCCTTCTCAATCCTATTATGCAAGCATGATACACTAAACAGGGGAAGCTTGTGCATTGCCTGCAATTTTCAAGCCTAGCTTCTGACAAGTCTTTACTGTTTGTATAACCATATGGAGTAGAAAAAAAAAGAGTGTCTGCAGCACAACGCTACAGTAAACGGCTTACATGATTGTTTACCATAGACATAGTGAAAACAATATTGAAGATGGTGATGTGTTTTTTTCTTGAGCTACAATAGATTATAGGCTAAACAAACTGATAAAAAAGAAGTGTCCTTCAGATGAAAGATGAATTAGGCACAAATCTAACATACTGCTCGCAAGGGTACAGACACAGTGTTTCATATTTGCAAAAACAGTCTCCTATTGATTTTCAGTGAAGTTTAAATCAACTTTGAGAAATTAATTTGAGGGCCAAATCCAAAATAAGATCTAAAATGGGATTCTGGAAGATTATTAAATTAAAACCAGAGAGGCTTAACACAGTGGCTGCTAACATATGGAGGTCTGAAAGCTCCCTAGCAATCTGTGGTTTTCCCAGCAGCCCGTTCTTCTGGCACCTACTCCTGGTTCCAGCTTTTGTGTACAGAGAAGCCTGTTCTGCTCTGAGCAGATGAGATAGTAAGAGATGGGAAATCTGTACAGAGTGTTACTCTATAATCCACTGATTATGATGTAGGTTACTGCTTAGAATACATGTGCAAGAACTGAGAAATAGTGATTTGGTTCTTTTCCAGCTCAATGGAATTCAAATCCTCTCTCCTGGCTATGCCATTGTACGCACCTAAATTTTCTCAGTCATTTCTATGGAGTCTAACTATGGAATTTCATTTGATTTAATATCCCAGAGTCTAAAATGCGGTTACTGCTTTAACTGCTTTACAGCGCCTATATTTTAATTGTGTTCTGCATCAAGTTTCTGAATTCATCAGGTTTCTTTGAAAATTGCATATGACAATGTTACAGCATGAACATGGCCTTTCTCATAAGTGTGTAAGCTAGATATTAATTACATGTCTATGTATTAGTGTAGGGGCTGAGAAGAACAGATCCTGTCATAGAAGAAGAGCCGTGACAGAAGAACTGATGATTTTAATGTCTGGATTACTGATCAATGGATATAACCTCTATACCCTTTAGATACTTGCACAATACCAGCTGAAGCAATAGTAGGCTTGTAATTTTCATGCAGTTACAGAACCTCTTGAGAATCTTGAGAAGTAAAACAACTTGGAAAGGAGACAAGTTGAAAAGTTGACAGTCTGTCTAAATGTTCACTTTACTAGATGACACATCAGTGCTTAAATGTCTGGTGGTTTGTTTAATTAGGATCAAGTGTATTTGGCAAGATATAAAGGTGTTTAGTTTCAAATACATACAATAACTTCTGAGGTTGCAAGAACAAAAGTGTAAAGAACATTTTGGTGTTTATTAAGTATCTGTGATTGTTCTTAAAATTTAGAACTTTGTGTGTAAGAAATGGAGATTAACTGTGAGATGAATTTTAAAAAGCATCAGTCTTTTGTAATTGGAGCATAGATGACAGTCAAAATGGGAAAAAATGTTGTTTGCTAAGATATTATATTGCATAACCTTATAAGGAGAAAATTAAGATAAGCAGAGATTTGTTGGAAAAAAGATACTAATTAATGACAGAGGTGTGCTTATGCTTGTATACTTGAAAGAATTATGATTCTTGAACAGATACACACTACGGTGATCCATTTTTTAGATCTGTTATTGTCTGTCAAATAAGAAATAACTTCTCTGAGGTCATGACCGTGATTTCCTTCCCCTGTGGCCAAGTATGCAGTTAGTAAACTGCACTAATATGGGATGTCAGGTAAATTGTCAGAGTGGTGCCTAGGGAGTGCTTACACAGTACTCATTAGTAGTGACAGCCACTACTTTAACTCTTAGATTGATGCTTATGAATTCTGGTGGAAAAAAGTCCACCACTGTTAAAACACCTGTCATGTCTTTTACTTCATTTAGATATAAGAATCATCCCAAGGTATGAGATGTACTCTTTTGGAATGGAAACAAGGTCAAAAAATTGTGAATAATAACATGTTATACAATGCTCCAGCTTTTGTAGCGTGTTAGTTTTCACAATCCATGAACCCCTATATAGAGATATTTTACAGTTTCTGTGATTTCTCAAAGACCTCTTATTTGCTAGAACATGCATAAAACTGGTTTATCGATCTAAAATGTTTCTTTCTCACTTTGCTCATTTTTTTTTCAACCTTTCTGTCTCCTGAAAGTTTACAACACAGAAAAAAAGATTTTCCAGTTGTACAACTTGGTAACTGTTTCAATTTTGCAAATGCTTAGTTGCCCTTCCTGTTTCTTATGGTGCTATACTCTTTTGGTGTGTACAGAAGGAGTAGATGTAATTATTAACACAGAAAATGGATTACCTGCACAGTATGATCACAAAGGTTGCATAGTGGTAGCAGCGATGGAGCTCTTTTATCTCACGCAAGCCTTTGGGTTGTACCATTTGAAATAAGCTAACAAAATAATTTTAATGAAATATGAATGTTTCCTTGGATTGAAACAGGGGAAGCACCACCGCCACCCCCCCCAAAAAAAACCCAGCCAGAACAGGGAGAACGGACTGTTGTCACTAGAACACATCATTTATAGGAGGTGTGGAAGACACTATGTCCCTCTAGTTAAAACAATAGAAAGTGATTATCAAGCATAAACAAATAATATTTATAGTTTTAGTCATTTTTGGCCTGTAATTTGTAATGTTATCCTAAAACCCAAGTACCTGAAGTGCTACATACTGCTTGAAATACAGAAAGACATAGTCACTGCTTTCCCAGAGAGTGTTGGAGAACGGCACAGCCAAATACGATAAGTAACAATAATGTTAGTTCGTTAGCCAACGAAGTGGTAAAACACAGTTTTAACAACAGCATATATGCTTTTTAATAAATGACATCATTTTTTTCCTTTGAATGCTCCCTATTGGTCTGATCATGTCTTACAGACATCAAAGCAAAATTACACCTTGAAGAAACATCACATGTAGAGTTGAGGTGGTTACAAATCAGTTTAAGAATGTATCAGTTGTCTGATGTGTGAGCACACAAGAAAGTATACATAGTTCATATTATGAAAAAAGACAATTATTTAATATTGATGTTTCACATTTTTCAAGGATTTTCCCTTCCAGTACCGGAGATGAGCAGAATGGTCTAGTGTATCAGTTTTTTTCATAAGTCTTTGGTCTTGATTCAAGAAGTTTAAACTTGGTTGAATGTAGTTGATGAAAGTGGTAGAAGGACTTACGTGTAGCCACACACTGGTATCATTAATGGTGATTGTGACACTGTGTTTGTGACTTCTTACTTTGGCTTTTGCTCACAGTTGAGATAAGTTCTTTGAAAAATACATGTTTGGGTGGAGCAGCCTGGAGTGGCAGAAAACAGCGCAGTTCAGTGATTTAGGGACAGTAACCTCCAGAGACAGGACCTTCTTTCCTTGGGAAGACTGAAATGTTTACTGCAACTCGGGATGTGGAATACCTGAAGCCAGCAGAAGAGATTTGGCATCTTCCACAAATCCATAGTGGATGTAGATTTGTGTATCCACTTTCTGGATGATTACTTGCTTTGAGTCGTACCATACTAATTTTTCTACTCAATTTAACACTGTTTTTTAAATTAATTTATTTTTTTTACAAAGCAAAATCTATATCCAAACTCAGCATGCTGAACATAGATGAGATATTTTGCTTAGATTCAGTTTTGTAGTACTGTAAGAAAGCTCTTTCTTGCCCCTGAAATGGGAAATTCAGGGCTGCATAAAACTGCTGTTTAATTCAGTCAGCTGGGTAAACATAGCATTTGTATGCTGCAGGATATGAAGACTATAAAACAATGTTATTTATATTATGATACTTATGCTGTTGTGCAAAAGGCATCCAAGTGCATAAGGAAATTTGTTTTGATAACCAAAACATTGAAGTGAGAAAATAGTTACTAGCTCTTTTGATGCATTAACTGGACAACAATAAAAAAAAAAGAAAAGAGGGAAAAGCTGGTGTTTGTTTTCTCTCAGGCCATATTTTATACCAAGGAAACTGGCAGGAAGCCAGCATAAGCATGATGTGTCTCAGTGGGCAGATTCTCATAAAAATAAAGAAAAAGATGCCTTCCGATATTAACTGAGGAGTAAATACTATTCCCTCTGGTTGGAATGCTCTTGTAAAAATATTGTGCTTTTAATTATGGATGTTTGGTATCTACACCTTGAAGCTTTTATTTCATCATTCTCTTACAGCTTCTATTGCATCAACCTGTAATGATCCTGGGACACCACAGAATGGCACTAGATACGGAGACAGCAGAGAGCCTGGAGACACTACCACCTTTCAGTGTGACCCTGGCTATCAACTTCAAGGACAGGCTAAAATTACATGTGTGCAGCTGAATAACCGATTCTTCTGGCAACCTGATCCTCCTATGTGCATAGGTAATAAGATGAAATGTTAGTCTCTGTTTAAGATTAACGCTGATTGGTTTTCTTGTTCAACTAGTGGGCATATGATGCTTATACTGGAGTGATGCTCTTCAAAATAACTGCATTCTGCATACTTGGTTTTCTTGTTCAACTAGTGGGCATATGATGCTCACACTGGAGTGATGCTCTTCAAAATAACTGCGTTCTGCATACTTAGGGTTACTGTCAGCCTTATTCTCAAGATTAACACTATTTTTGGATGTCATTTTCTCTATTCTATTCTTTAAACTTCGTACAAGTTTAAAATTGAAAAATTCTAATAGAAATAATTAAATGGAAGACGTCATTTGGATTAAAAAAAAAATTTCTCATTGAAATGGTCTCAGTAGAAGGGTCTTTTGTGTAATAATTTAGTTACATAAACTGTGATCCAGTATTTATTCTGAAATTTTTCTGAATTCTCTTGTAGATTAAATACCCATCCTGTGCAATCCCAAGGAAGCTAAAGATATTTTTTCTGAACAGGATGCTTGTTGGGAAAGGTAGATGCAGAGACAAGGGTCTGAGTAGACAAAGCTGATGAAACATTTCCATAATACCAGGACAGAGTGGGAGATCTTCTTTCTTTGACACAAGCTTTGATTCTTGGTTCCATTGTTCTATATGGCATAGAGGTTTCTTTGAGGTTCTGGTCAGTACACTAATACTTAATGGCTTAGAAGTCTTGCTGAAATGTATTTTAAGGTCATCAGTGTAGCTCTTCTAAGATTAGAGTTAATCAACATCCGTGAAAAGTTTTCTGCTATAATTATCTGCTAAGGTATAGAAATTTTTTTAAATCTTTATGATTTTGTTGCCTATTGATTTATGATTAAATGAATACTTACTTTAATGATCCTAAAAAACTGACACAATATGTTTTAACAGCACTGGAATAAGCATAATGCTTTTACTTTCTACAAGCCGTTTTGGAGAGGCTCTTTCCAAAACAGCAAATCCCCAAACAACTAGCGGCTCTCCATCTGTCTAAAGTGTTTACATATATCCCAAAGATACTGGGAAAGATTTGGGATAATGCAGGATAGTATCTCTAACTCCATATCATCTAGAAGAACAGAGCAGCATATAATCTGAACATTGTCTTCTGGATACCTTGTGTGCAATGTACGAATAACAGTGTGAAAATGTTTACTAAACACACTGGGATTGTTCACAAATTAAAAATATGTAAATAAAAATAAAACCCAAAAGATATCTGGTGCCTAAAGACCTAGAAGATTCATACTCTTTCTCTCAATACCAATTATAATCCCTCCATAATTCTTTAAAGTCTAATGAAAAAAATTAAAACACGAAAAAGGAAACAAAGAAAGACAGAGAGAGTACCTTTGGGTAAAAAGTATATACATATTGATATTCTTCCATACACCTAAGGTGACTTTGAAGGGAAAAGCAGATTAAAGTAATATGTGCTGTAGACATGACAATATTAGAACCTTAAGGATTCTGTAAAGCCACTATATGTCATTTTAAAAAATGCTATAAAGTCCTTATGCTGACTTACAAATGAAAAATTATTTGCATGTAATAACTGTACTACTCAGTACTTCGAACATTTTGCTACTTCCATTCCTGATGATATTAGAAGAGCTTTAAAGTCCTTTTCACCCCAAACCATTCTGTGATTCTGCGATTGTTTAAAGATTTCGGTTCTATTTGTACTTTATAACTTTGATCATGGTTATCTCAGGTTATCTGATCTTTATCATCACCACACATGTGAAACATTTCCTGGAACCGTTATTCGTAAGTAAAACTAAAAAGAAATAAAAATTAAATAAAAAAAAACCTCACAAACCACACACACCCTGGATCAAAAATAATGACTAAAATACCAAAACTACAGACACAAAAAAAACACATAAATATACTAAATGTTTAAATAAATAAATAAATAAATAAACAAATAATGGAGAAGGAAAAAAAAAGTTTAGTTTGTTTTCATAAATACCACAAAGGGAATGTCTTCATTACTGTTTTCATTTGGATTAGGACCGTCATTTCCAAGTAAATCTTCTTGCTCACGCTTTAGTTCATGATTATGAATTTTCTTGGAGCTTCTGAATGGAATTAAACTGTAAGATGTGTTGTATGAGTGCATCTGAGGTACTTCAACCACTAGTGAGCATTCACTCCACTGGACCAGACTAGAAATGGCCTGAAAAAATCCTTCTTTAAAAATTTAATACAGATTCCAAATCGTTAGTACCAACTGTTTTCCTCTACAAATGTGTTCCTATGACTTTGCATGACTTGGTAATGCAGATGCAGCCAGTGTTGACTACTGTACTTTTTAGTTAGACTTCCATGTGGTAATTGTCTTTGGAAGCTGGACTCCTTATCTGTTTAAAAGTAGTGTTCTATTTATGGTAACTAAATTAATGTATTGGATTTTTTTATTTGGGTAATACCTTTACTGAGTGAATCAAACTGTTTTGTGTTACATCTATGGTCAAAAGAAACTCCATCCTGAATCCTGCTATTGAGCTACCCCAATTCTTGAAGTACTTCCAGTATATAAGAAATACTTAAGCTTGATAGTGATATGATAAAGCAACAGCAAGAATATACAGGAATTCTTATTTAACTTCATATTTTTATTCCTTTAGAAAGTGTTTCTCCTGTGCTGCTTTTGAATACGAACAGACCTCACTTTTTTGAAAGAAAATACAAAAATGTTTGCTATCTGGAAGTGGGAAAGCACTGGGGCATTTTTAATATTATTTTTGGTAAATGTAGAAGTCCATTTACACCTATTTAACAGCTAATATGTGCTTGTGAATTTAACATATGACCATATTCCTATTTCTTTTTACATTGCGACAGCTGCATGTGGAGGAAACCTGACAGGCCCAGCAGGAGTTATTTTATCTCCTAACTATCCACAGCCTTATCCTCCTGGGAAAGAATGTGACTGGAGAATAAAAGTAAACCCTGACTTTGTCATTGCCTTGATATTCAAAAGGTACCATTTCTGGGTGAATGCCTCTGTTTAACAGGATTTTAAATGTCACATCTAAAAATGGCATCATTTATCACTTCTTAAAGCTTCTAATTATATTCTCTGGCTAAGTCCTCAAGCATACATCTAATATGTGTTATATCATTGCTTGCAAATAACAGAAAAGCAAATAATACAGTCATACGTAATTTTTTGATATAAAATATATTCCTAAGCAACAAAACTTTTTGTGACCTGGGAAATAAAAATCTTTGAAAAACAACGTCAATTTGTAGAAATGTTTGAATTACATTGTTGTGCCTTATAGTAGAGACTTGAACTGTAGTGAAATGTGTATCTGTAACTCAGTTCTTAGTGGTTTTTACAAATACAGGCTAAATACGCTTTTATAATTTTCATAATTTTATCTATTATTTTTACTATTCTCATAATTTTACAAAAGTTTTATTTGCTCAGTGTTCCATCATCAACCTATATTTGTTGCATAGATTTTTAACACAAATTGAAGTTCAGGGATATAGTCATATTCATGTGTTAAATTTATCATTTCTGTTTGAATAGGCCTATATAACCGTCTAGCATGCTATATCTATGGATGCAAATTCAAATTTTTCTCTTTTTTGATTCTCTGTCCTAAGTATAATTTTTAAGCTAAGAATGGTAACATTGCAGTTGACTTCAGTGGGATGGTGATCGATTCTGATTCTTTTAGAATGAGACAACGGCATGTTCAGAATTTTGTTGTGTAATATTTGCACCCTTTTTTTGAAAAAAAAAACCCATCAGAACAAAAAACCCCCCCGTTTCTTTCATTGACTGATTGCAGTGTGTTTTCTAATAAAAATTGATAAACAAGAAATTAAGGAATCAAAGCCTAAGATATGTGAAATTATATAATCAAGGATACTATAATTCTGTTCTTCGGGTATTTGATCAAATAGCATTAAGGGATGAGAATAGTTCTCCACTAATGACACACTTGAAAATGTCACGATAGGTATGGTAAGCAGCATATTTCTGTGGACTGCCTAAATAATCAGCTCAAATACTACATTTCAAGTAAGACAAAAGAAACTTACAGTTACTCAGTATTCAGATTTCTTTGAGAGTTCTATTTTAAGGAATACAAGTGTTGTAGTTTTGCCCCAGCCAGCAACAAAGAACAACATGGCCACTCACTCACTTCTCCACCCCAGTGGGGTGGGGTGCTCATACTTGTTGTCCTGGGTTTGGCTGGGACAGGGTTATTTTTCACAAGAAGCCAGGAGGGATGACCCAAGCTAGCCAAACAAATGGGATATTTGATATCACGTGATGTCGTGCTGGGTATGTAAGTGGGGGAGCTGGCTGGTTGTTGGCCAGGGGAGTATATTTGCTGCTCAGGAGTGAGCTGAGCATTGGGTGGTGAGAAAATTGCACTCTGCATATGCTTTCTGTCAGTATTATTGTTGTTACTTTCTTCTGCCTTTGCTGTTCTGTCAAACAGTCTTTATCCCAACCCACAAGTTTTGCCTATTTCTTCCAATTCTCCTCCCCACCCCACAAGACCTTTTAAGGTGTGGGTGTTGGGGTTGCTGATCTTGTAAATATTTTTAGGATACTGGAAATAAAAAGGAAAACTGGAATACAAATTAAGAAGGAAAGGAAAACCAACACTGTTACCTGTATACATATAAGTATCAGAGAGACAAAATGAAAAACTTTGACTACTTTTCTTTTTTAATAAATACTGTATTTTTAGTGTAAATTGATCATAAGAGCAACACAGATTCTCATTTAATGAAAAAGTGTGCAAATACATGCTGTTAACTTTGTAACAGAGAAGTAAATTGAGATAGTTTTAGGAATATATTTAATGTTAGAACACCAATAACTTAATGCACTATCACAAATCCCCACTGATTTATATGAAATGTCAGACCTGAAATAACTCCATTTCTGCAATCCTTTCACTAACTTCCCTGATTTTTAGAATAAACTACACTAGACTAGACTAGAATATTTCAGTGAGAAGGGACCTATGATGATCATCTACTCCAACTGCCTGACAGTTCAGGGCTGACCAAAAGTTAAAGCATGTTGTTAAGGGCATTGTCCAAATGCCTCCTAAATGCAGACAGGCTTGGGGCATTGACCACCTCTCTAGGAAGCCTGTTCCAGTGTTTGATCACCCTCTGAGTAAAGAAAAGCTCCCTAATGTCAGGTCTGAACCTCCTCCCCTGGTGCAGCTTTGAACCATTCCCAGGCGTCCTACCACTGGATCCCAGTAAGAAGAGCTCATCACCTCCCTCCCCACCTCCCCTTCTCAGGAATCTGTAGACAGTGGTGAGGTCACCCTTCAGCCTCCTTTTCTCCAAACTAGACAAGCCCAAAGTCCTTAGCAGCTCATAAGACATCCCTTCCAGCCCCTTCACCAGCTTTGTTGCCCTCCTCTGGACCCATTCAAGGACCTTCACATCCTTCTTAAATTGTGGGGCCCAGAACTGCACACAGTACTGAAGATGAGGCTGCACCAACACTGAATACAGTGGGATAATCACATCTTTTGACCGGCTGGTTATGCTGTGTTTCATATAGCCCAGGATGCAGTTTGCTCTCTTGTCTGCCAGGACACACTGCTCACTTGTATTGAGCCTGCAGTGGACCAGCACCCCCAGATCCCTTTCTGCAGGGCTGCTCTGCAGCCACTCCTCTCCAATTTATACTTGTGCCTGGCATTACTCCATCCCAGATGCAGAATTTGGTATTTCAAGTCGATAAATTTGATCCACTTAATGATTGCCCAATGCTCCAATCTATCTAGATCCCTCTGCAAGGCCTCTTGTCCCTCAAAGGATTCAACAGAACCTCCCAGTTTGGTATCATCAGCAAACTTACTAGTGACGCATGTAAGTCCTGCATCCAGGCCATTAATAAATGTATTCAAAAGAACTAGCCCTAGAACTGAATCCTGAGGAGCGTCGCTGTTGCCTGGTTGCCAGACAGATGTAGCGCCATTCACTAAAATCCTCTGAGCTCTGCTCTTCAGCCAGTTCTTCACAGTGTACCGTGAACCTGCTGAGCTCTGCCATTCAGCCAGTTCTTCACCCAGTGCACCGTGAACCTGCTCATCCCACAGTTGGACAACTTATCTGGAAGGATGCTGTGAGGGACAGTATCAAAAGCTGTACTAAAATCCAGAAGAACTACATCCACTGCCTCCCCTTCACCCACTAGGTGGTTACCGTATCATAGAAGGAGACTGGATTAGTTAAATAGGACTTTCCCTTTGTGAACCCATGTTGACTGTGCCTGATGATTGAATTATTCTTTAAATGCCTTTCAGTAGTACCCAGTACAATCTTCTCCATTATTTTTCCAGGAACTGAGATTAGACTAACAGGTCTGTAGTTGCTGAGTCTTCAGTGATACCCTTCTTGTAAATTACAGTAATATTGGCTAGCTCCCAGTCAGTAGGGACCTCCCCAGAACTTTGGTAGATGATTGAGAGGGGTAATGTTTCTGCAAAATTTAATTTCTTAACATACGATTTTCTGTTCATTTTATCTAACATTTTTAATTCTTAGGCAGTATGCTACAGATAAGACCTGCACTATTCGCAAGGAACTGGCTTTGAGAAGACATCAGTGTCTGCATAGGATGAGAAAGTGGGCTGAGAATAGAGAGATGCAATATATTTTGGAAAATGTGTGTTGGTTACAGAGAAATTGAAAACCATTGCCCTGTACAATTTACTTTTCCTGGGTTTGGGCTTTAGAGTGCTATTCGTTTCAACTCTTCTAACTCTCAACTGAGAATTCTCTGTCTCAGCAGAAGTTTCAATACATTTTTCTGGCTTCTCTTACCTCTTGAAAATAGGGCATAAAATATTATTCATTAATGTTAAGCCATTTCCATTTGACATTGCTTAAAGAATATGTTTTCTTCTGATTTCTTATCTAAAGATATTGTACCTTTTGTCTTACAGGATTTGGAAAATTTTATGTCTAACAGTACTAGCTAAAGTAATAGAAAGAAAAACAGATGACCACCACACTTGCAAAAAAGCCAAATATTTACTCATTTTGTTTACAAAATTAGTTAGAAAGAAAAAAATTCTCTCATTTGACTGAGCCCTTGCCTGATTTTTTAATGTAGTTTTAATTTTCTTGTATTTTCTTCACTGTTCCCAGTATATTGTTTTATCTAGCTCTCTATAAATTTCTCATATAAATGCCTATGCTTTTACCTTCATGTTGTCCCACAACTCAATTAAATTCCTCTGAAAGACATTACATTCATATTATCTTCATAATTGCTTTGTTTAACTGTATAAATGTCATAAAATATCACAGAATCACAGAATCACAGAATGGTACGGTTTGGAAGGGACCTCTGTGGGTCACCTAGTCCAACCCTCCTGCCGAAGCAGGCTGCAAAGGACCGCGTCCAGGCGGGTCTTGAATATCTCCAGAGGAGGAGACTCCACAACCTCCCTGGGCAGCCTGTTCCAGTGCTCCGTCACCCTCAGAGGGAAGAAGTTCTTCCTCATGTTCAGACGGAACTTCCTGTGC